AAAGGTCGGGGCTACAAATTATGCAACAGCGCAGTTTAAATGAATCATTTTATGACAGTGGTAAATATCAAAAAATGCCGTTTGCATATTGTGTAGAAAATTTACTTAGTAGTTTGCATATATTTCGTCAGGTTATTGAAATTCTCTGAGTAGATGTACTACTATGAATGCATTTCACCTAGGAAAATCGCCCTTTTAGTTAAGTTTAAATTTGTAGTCTTACATCGAAGGAAGATCCTATGACAGAACCCAAATGTTTACCAATATACATTATTCTATGGCCGACTTACAAGATGAATAAAAAGTTTTAAATAGGCCCTTTCCAGAACCTGAGCATTTTGTCCGGAAGGAATCGCATTAATTTTCAGAAACAAGGAACGGTTTATGCTCCAAAAAATAATGTTTATCCAATCTTTGAAGTTATTTGGTTTCATGTAGTTTTACTGCATCGCCTTCATGCAAGGTGTGCACATATTTCACCGTGAATACAATATAAAATAGGCCTTTTGAAAGGTACGTTATGAACAGATATACTTCTTTGTACACTAACATTCCGCTGATGCTTTCTTCATAAACGGAACAGACAGAACAAAAAGAATAGCGGAAATGCCTTGTGGCCACACGTTCTTTATATTTGGAAGCTCAGAATAAAGCCTGGAAGGAATCTACTATGGCGAAAAATAGTCCAGTATGAGGCGAAAGGTCAGCTCGTTCATTATCACTCAATTTGAATCATTTATCTCTAAGTTACTGTAAAAAACTGTTCAGCAGTCTTGTATCCTTTTGTCGCTACTCTAAATGAATTAAATATACGGAGTTCTTCGTCAGCTGAATAGCTTATTAAAGCGCTCTTTAAAGGGGTCACGTTCTGTAGAACGCTCTTTTATTAAGCTTAAGAATAGCAATCTATTTTCCTTTTCTCAGGCATACCCAAATATGGTCCACATATCCAAAAAGTCATTTCTTTCGGTGAATGCTCTTGATATTTGTCTTAATTTAATGGTTTTTGTGTCAACGCCAAACGGAATCTTAAGCGACGGACAAACTTATGAAGACACTGAAAACGCTCGAACATATGCCTGAATTTAGAGAACGATATTCAATAATAAGTTAAAATAATGAATAAATAATAATATGTATAGAACATTCCGAATTAATAAAAGTTTTTTTTAATATAAGGAAAGTTTAAGGTAATGTTTGTGAATTAAAAAATTATTTGAATTTATTGTTCTATCTCATAGCTATTTTGTACGTCCCCGGAACTTGGGCATCTTACTTAAAGAACACTTAGTCATTATGTTCTTATTTTAGGTACTAAATGTGGCTAATGCTCCCACCGCTATGCGCGGTTTGACCAAACGTTTAGAACCTTATGCGTTTGCATTCAGCCCTACTCATAATGTATGCGGAATAATTATAAACATTGGAGTAAACTACTGCACAGCGAACATATAGTGTTTGAAGTTGAATTTGGAGGTAAGGTGTATGAGTACGAGGACGACTGAGCTAGCGGCTCAAATGAAAAAGCAGTTTCAACGTACCCTTCGCACTAGATTTCTTGTACAAGAAGATATATGGATTTCCGCTATCACCGGGGGTACGCTGCACAGATACTGACGCGTGCGGTTCTTTCAGAGGGCCCATAGCGATGAAATATTGGGTTTCTAACGTGAAAGAGAGTTCGTTAGACAAGCAAGCACTCGAAGCATTTCTAAAAATTAAATGAAAATGAATGTGAACAGAGGCTAGTGAAAAGCTATTCGGGGGCTAAAGCACTTACGTCGGAAATGAGGCACACAACTTCTAACTTCTAATGGAATGCCTTTCGTGATTGCTTATTTATTACAGATGTTCTAGTGTGTGTTTGGCAGTCATTAAAACAATAGGCGAAAAAAACGGAACGCTTATCACTTACTTTTGACTTCTTGCCAGCAGTCTTTGCTTGGATCGCAGTGTTTACCTGCTGGGGCATTTGCAATCCTCTTACCGTCAATCTCTACGTACTAAAATAAAAGTGGTTTGTAAGTTTACACATGTATTTGTCAATTAATTGTGCGCCACCTTTGGTTAAACCTACATCAACAGCGCCAAGTGATGGCCTCGAGAAAACGAAATTGTTGCCTCCGCTGAATCTAATGACCTCCGGCGCACCTGTGGGTTTACCTCCTGAAAGAAGAAGACACCATTAGCACCACAAAAGATTGCAATTCAACAGATTTAAAAAGTCCCCTTTTAGCAATTTTTAAGCAAACAACCAAATTTTATTACAATATTGTGGGCTGAGGGAGTAAACAATGTAAGCAGGCATCACAATTTCAGAAACCGAGAGAAGCCACTATGAGGAAAATCACTGGACTCAACATCTCTACGAGTCTGCTTCACTACTATCGCCTTACATGTGTACATATGCCCTCTTGAGCCGAAGTCAAGGCGTACTTTCTCATATCTTAACCTCTTTTTGGGGGATGGTTTTTCTATGTGTTCATTATGTCAATTACTCTCAGCAAATAAGTTGCGTATGAGGGTGGGGGAAGGTTGTTTTATGAGATGGGTCTGACGGCAGTCATTCAAATATGAGGCATTTAGACACACTTAGCCGGCACATCTTGAATACAAATTGAAGTGCTGCGGAAGCACGTCCAGATAATAATTAATGGTCGAATGCTTGCACAGAAACGCAAAAGGTTTTTTTCACAACATGGAACAGAGTCCAAAACATCCTCTTTTGAAATCATCCGATATCGGTAATTTTCCAATCGAGAATTAGAAGGAAATATAACTCTGTAACGATATTGCCTAAGATGTCATAGTTCAACCTGAATACTTTCCTAAATGACGTGTCTATAGCCTAATAAGTGATGCCCTTCATGTATATGTGCAAATTCAAAATTTCAATTATCCTCCTGAAATAATGTGTCTATCGATGCGTCACGCGTACGCCAAGCTCAAAGATATAAACTATCAGGGAAGTTCGGTGCTGATAAACAAATTATTAAGGATTAACGATGCACAAGTTTTAACAAAGGATACTAAAAAGTGAAAACGGAGAAAGTCCGCCAAATTGCCTGACTGTATTCAAGGGCACAACACAAACTCAACCCACACGCAGACGGAAACCATTCTTTGAAAAGCCTGTGTATGTTAGCGAAATGAGGGAATAAATACACCTGAAGTTGAATAAGCAAAAGGTTATCCCGTTAAAAAACATTGCATAATATATTATGTTCTATTCCATGGTGCGTCTGTACACAAACAGCAGTGCCTTGAAGGAAAAAGTTATGCTGAAAACTGCTCCGGTGTACATAGAAATGCGTTGTTTCATTTACAGCAAACGATTCATCCCTTATTTATTGGGAAGTAAAGACACCGGTCAAAATATCCCATTTTACTTTGGACTTTATCTACAAAAAAGGAAAGTACTTAAATAATTCTCGCTGAAATATCGAGCTACAGCACTTTTTTCAGAGGAAAATCCTTATAGGAAGTCTTTCATTTAATCTCAAACATAGTCATTTTCGGCTTCCTTAATGGACAATTTTTATTTTTCTACTTTCGTGTTTAAATGATTTGGGTGATTCTAAAATCCTGAACCAAACAGACAACTGAATAATAAAAAATGATAAAAGTATCATTATGTATGGAAATTTCTTTATGCAATACAATTTCTTCTATTTCTTGGTAAACAGGTATAACAAAACATTGAAATTCGTAAAGTGTTAAGCAGCATTTCCAGAACCATCTGCACTTTGTCAGATTCGAACTCTCGAAAAAAGCACAATGAAAACTCTGAATTTACGGAGCATGGTTTGAATTTGCTTAAAAGTGCAACCGTAATCCAAATTTTTAGTAAACAGCCAGCGTCCCATTGTGTGGCAGGCAATCTTTTCTTATTTCTGCCAGCAGTCCGGATCTGATTCGTATAAAGGATTGTTTTGATAGTGTCAACATAAATTGGCACAAAGAAAGGAGCTATATTTCCTTGCATCACAAACAACTATAGGTAAGATGGCCAAATCTTAATGCTGTATCAAATGGTAT